GATGGAGGTGGGGGTGGAGGAGGTGGCTGATTCTGGGCAGCTCGTTTCATTTTTTTCGGACCACCGTTCATGTCGTCATGATCCAACATCGATAGTTCGGCCATATCTGTGGGAGGTGGTCCATTGAAACCATCGGGAGGTGGTCCCCGGAAGCCGTCCGGAGGTGGTCCCCGGAAGCCATCCGGAGGTGGTCCTGGTGGAAAACCACCTGGTGGTGGTCCACATGGTCTACCATCTGGACATTGAGGGGGTTCTTGTGGACTACGCTTCGAACGAGAACCGTCATCGGCACTGTTTTGCACCGACGCTCCAAGGACCTACGTCAAGAGTCCGTCACGATTGTTTCGAGTTTCAGCTTTTAATTTGAAATATGAAGTTTTATGGAACTGCAGAGTTCCATAGCTGAAGAATTTATAACTCTTTTCTTATGCTTACACAAAGTCCAAACAATGCGACGACGGAGAGTAGGAACAAGTACTTCATGGTCCCAGCTGTTTCGACACTGTCTTCTTGTTTTAAGATCGCCGGGTTAAATACTCTACGGTCGCTGCGTGATGTAATGACAAAATGTAGGAGGAAACAAAAAGCATCAGATAGAGAAACATTATACGGTGCATCGCATGTGAAAAGAGTTCGTTATCAGCCTCTACCGTTGATAGTTATTATTCCTCGTCCGCGACGATTTGCTCTTCTCCATGTTTTTCTTTGTTTTTTGTCACGACCAGCAACGGAAATGACGGGTGATTTTCGCAGACACATATTCGGTTGAATAACTTCATTTTTAATCATCGATCTAGCGCGGTTTCATCCAATATACTTTGTATGTTTTAAACCATTTTTCTAATTTCATATAATATCGTGTCTTGTCTAACGTTATCGTTTTTTTAATCGATTATTTAACTCCAGCGTGACGATTACGATGCTTATCACTTCAGGAAGCCAATTTACCGTAATAACGTTCGAAGATGACAAATGGCGTTAAATTATGTAATAGTAGGATTCCCATAATCATTGTTTTTTGCGCTTCTGTTATTAAATTGGCATGAATTTTTCTTGGATAAATGCCTACACCGCGAAATGAATTGAAGTTGCAGAGCATTGTTATAGAGATGAAATAAAATTTTTAGAGGCATTCAATTTTTAAATATAATCGATGACAGTATGTGACCTAAATCACACGGTGGTCATTTAAAAAGATAATTTTTTTTAGAGAAATCAGACACGATTCTTTATTAAATTGGTGGTGAAAATGATTAATTTGTAAATGTTCGTTAATGTTTCGCGATGAACGCTCATCGAAATGTAACGATGGCAGAACTCGGCCATCGTGATCGACGCAACCAAATTAAGCGTCGACTTAATCGAAATATTAATAGCTCCCGTCGAGGGTGGACGAACACGTCAGGAATCGCAGGGTCGTAGCTATCACTTTGTCACTCTCGTTAATCGACTTTTGCAACCCATTGAGCGGCCTGTTCGCACGGAAATTGCAACTTTTCCGGACCAACGATTGTCTTTCGAGCGATAGGCAGCCCTCGGCATGCTGCATCGAGTTTAATCATCGATAATTTTACGTCCACTTGCTCCATATGCTCCATGTCGTCCTCTTTACGAACCGATGTATAGATTTTTTCTTTCGTTTCAAGATTCTTTTTAATCATTCATCGTTGCAAAAATAATCTGGCACGATTAAAATAACGTGAGTCGAATTTCAAGTACGGAACACTCGGGGTTGATTAAAGTTTGAACTTTCCTGCTTCAGATTTTAAAATTGGATTCGAATTAAAAATTCAAATATTCTACACGTAAGAGTCAATGATATATTTTTACTTCATAATCGGTTTATCCGATAAATTTTCTCCGTTCTGTATTTTAAGAAGAGTAACGAGAATATTGAAAAAGCTTCTTCTTATCGACGATGGAATAAAAAAAAGAAATGTATCGAAAATATCGTATTCGAAGCGACGCGATACTGAAAGGTTCCAAAAATGTCATGAGTCACCTAACGAATTACGATCGATAGTTTCAACGATGAATGAATTCCTTTAATAACATAGCACCCCTCGTTTCGCATCAATGAATAGAAATTGAAATCCAGTTTTCAATCCTGAAATCGGCCATAATACCTTTTGTTGACGAGTTGAACAGGATTGATGCTTTGAAATTTTTCACTGACGTCACGACAAGAAAAAGGTCTACCGCTTCTTTTATTCCAGAAACGAGAAAATCTCATTGCCCTACCAATCATCGGTCCTCCGTCTGGTGAAATTACGAATTAGGCTTGATTACGACTTGTCCCTGGTAGCAAGGGTGAAAGTAACGAGGTTACTTCGAGGAAACTCGAAGAAAAAGGAGGAGATGAAAAGGATGGAAAATGCAGCTGACCTTACCCGCTAACACCGCCATTTGGATTAACTTAGGGACACCCCTGGGGTGTTAATTGTGTCAGCCACACTATGCCAACTATCCTTAAAAAATTTCTTTCATAATGTAAATTTCAGTAAAAATATTACTGAATTCTACTAATAATTATAAATAGAAAATTTGTTGTCAATGAAATTTGAGATAAACTTGGAAATAAATTTGCTCACCTCATCCTCCTGCGAAGAGGCCAATTCTGGCTCGTTCTCCTCCAGTTTCGTTAGCAGTTTGTCCTGAAACAAGAGGGCATTCCGTGAATAATTGAAAGCATAAATTTTCATTAATATTTCTTTTCTTTTTCAAGACAAGCGAATCGAAGAACTCGTTCTTTTCGTGGAAGCTCGAATAACAATGACATAGTAGCTAAAGCAATGGTTTGCAGTGCTATTTTTGCAGTACGCGTACTACGAATCGATCAATATACTATTTCTTTACCACTTCTCTTTTCTTCGTTCCGCAAGGCTCGTTACTCGATCGCGTTACGCGATCATGAGTCTCTTTCATTTTTAATTCCCTTTCATTCATCGATCAAACACCCATATTAAATTACTAATAAAGCTTCCATTATTTAAACATTTCCATTCTCCTTTCGTGAAAGCTCTCGCATTAAACGAAAGAATAAAAAGACTCGAAAGAATAATAAACAAAACGAGACGGATAAAAAGAAATAATCTGCAACGTCGTTAAGTAAATATTCTCTAATTAATATGAAAAAAAAAACAAACATATTCTGGATTAAAAGGGAGTAGATAGAAAGCAGGTACAAATGAAGCTCTCAGGGATTAAAATAAAACACAGAAGGCTCGTTCGATTCAAGGTAACTGTCAAATCAGAGTAAAAGAGCGAAAAAGAAACAATCTTTCTGTTCGCGAAAGAAAAGCAACACGCCGTAAAACAGAACGATAGGCGGATATTCAAAGTGTAAATGGAAAATTGGCTGGCTCGTGATTCGAGATGGTCCACGGCTAGTGCGTCACAGTGAAAAGTTGCTATACCAAATGCTGCACCCTGTGGTGGGGATATTTTGCGCATCATCCCCCTAATATCTGGAAAGCACCCTGACCCAAATACACGTACGCGCGGAACAACCGGACGCTCTCCTCTGCCAGGATCATCCGACATCAAATGAAAACCACCGCGACATTTTTCATGTTCGATGCCTTGTAAAAGCCCTTTCACATCGATGATCACCTACACGAGTCATGAATTGCTTCAAAGACTACTTTCCACACTAACACCGAACGTTACGCGAAATTCTCGTGTTAGCTCGAAGTTCTCAAGTTTTTGAAACTTTGGTTTCAAGCTGGAGGTACTGCAGGCTTCCGTTAAAAAATTGGGTCCACGATCGTAATTGTTCCAGCATGTTTATCGCATTGGAAAAGAGAAAGAGAATATATCGTGTAAAGTGCATTCTAAATAACCCAATGTCGAAGAGTCAGTAGAGAGGAAACAGATTCGTTTTATCCCTATTTATATCCAGGGACCATACACATCAAGCTCGAAGTCGATTAAACTCCTCAAAATTCTATATTCGACCGGGTAATGGAATTACCACGTGGAAATAGTGCAATTTCCATTCGATACTCGGTCGATCGAAACTCGATTTCCAGTCGTTTCCATTCGACGTCGAGATGGTCATCAAGTATCCTATTAATTTGTGATTTATTGCACATGATTTCCCCGATAATACTCATCGTACAAGTTCAATAGTCTATTAACTATCATCGCGTTCAGTTGTATCACAATAAATAGTCATTTTCGTCACGCGGAAAATCTGAAAATCTATCAAGTACCGCGAAATGGTACTTTTACATCAAAGTGTAACCTTTAATCAATATCAAAGTGTCATTTTGTGATACTTTTACGTCATCGTTTAACTTCCTGTGCTTAGGAATGCTGCATAAGCAAATAATCTATGAGTGATCAGCAATGCTTAAGTAGTTCAGTGGATTTTATCGATATAACAACTTTCACTCTGATGCAAAAAGTAATCTTCCTGAATCAAGCTAGTGCACATAAATTCCAACGAAATATTTATTATCTCAAACGGTTTTGGTTCGACGCCTTGATTTGTTTGTGAAAAAAATATTCATTGAGTCAGGGGAAAAGGAGATTGGTAACGGGTAGCGTCATGCTTGAGATCCTTTCTCGATCTTAGCTTTCAATTTCTGTCAGTTTGCTCTCAGTGCTATCATTGGCGAGGATAGAGCTCTCTTACAGTTCTTGTGCTGTGTTTCAACGATGATTCCAGGATTATTTGTTCCTCTGCTGTGTCGAATCATCGTTATTAGAAGAGGTAATTAACGTCAGAGCAAAACCTGTCAAAACAGGTTTATTTTCCATCTTACGTGCAATTTATTTTCAATTTAGATAGACGCGTGACTCTTGTTATTCTAGCGTTAAACTAAACTCGTAATGGCTGTATGTGGTCACTTAACATTTCGCTCGTTAATTAGAGATATTTGCTCAAATTTCAAACGCCTACACTGATATTTTTTTAAGGCGAAAATTTTGTAGTTATAAATAGGGCATTCAGAGAGTGAATTTGGTGCTAGTCCGGAATAGTTGCAATGAAAAAGCAGGATTTTTCTTTCGTCTTTATTTAAAAGAGACCTCTTTAAAGTGCACGCACTCGGAACGAAGGACTCGAGTTACAGTACTGTTTGAATTTTTGGTCTGCTCCTGACAAGCTCGCTTTTCACCGAAAATTCTAAAAGTTTCCTTTCACCAACCTATGGCATTTTTCATTTGCTTTTGTGCCTTTTAAAATTCAATTCGTCGTCTTGGTTAATTAAAACTGTACGAAAATAATGAATACGAGGTTCTTCTGAACATTACAAATTAATTAATAAGTTCTGCTTTTTGTTCATAACGTAATTTAAAAGATACAAAAATATCAAAGAATTTAGAATTCCAAAGCGATTTTTTTGAATTGAAGTTATGTTTCTTTCGGTACTACGAAGATCACGTGACTTTCACTACAAAGTGTAACGCAAGAATCATAGATGCGCTGAATCTAACTCGAGTCGAATTACCATAAATTAGCTTAATTAACCATCGTGCGCAGACTTTCTTCAAAGCGATCGTCAAGAACATTGTGCTATTTTCCACGCACAGTTCACCGTTCGTCGCGTTTCAATAAATACTTATAATTAACGTTTCATTACACCGTGCTGTTGCATCAATGAATACTCGTTTCAATATTGCAATTTTATCCTGAAATAAAAAAGAATTGTCGAAGCAGAACTGACCATTGTTCAGTGGTCGATATCGTAAAAACTGGCTTCTTCGAAATGGTTTCGTTTTCTACACCTCGGATTATGGCCCCACAATAATAATTCTGCGTTTCATTCTTTCCTTCTCTAACTTTCGAACACAATACTTTCTCCGCCATCGAAAGAAATCTTTTTCCAAGTTAACACCTTCGTGTCATGATAAAATCGTAGATGTTGGATACGGAGGATACATTCGAAATTAAATTGAAAACTAGTTTGATTGTTAGGGGCTTTTTTTGGTGATCTGAATTATGTTATCAGGTGACAGTCCTCTGCACCTAACTCCGCTTCCCACTGGAACTTGCTTCTACTGTTGTCCCATCGACTTAGAACGCGACATCGAATTTCTCTTATTCACCAGGTACGTTTGCTACGAAAATTGATATGATAGTACTATTATTCTGATCGCAATTATCTGTTACAGACGGAACCCAAATTACCCCACCAAACTGAATAGTTTTGATTCCTTCACGTTGAAGAACAGCAATTTTGACGTAAGATACCCGACCATAATTTTCATCCACGGATACAGCGAGAACGCGTTCGAAGGAAGCGCTGCAGCAATTCGAAAAGGTATTTTCAATTACTGATACAGTGTGTAAGGATAAGTTAGTATATTTGAAGGCATAAGCCACGAAAGCATTCACTGATACGGTCTCACTATCAGACGGAAATTGATGAATCTGGGACATTAGTATCTACAAGAATCAGCAAGCCGTTCTAAGACGTTCTGACAGTATGATAAATCGTGGATCCTTCTAAAAGTTCACCCTTTCACGGAAACTTGAACGTACCTCGCAGAGATCCATATTTCCCGACTGTGACATTCATTTTGGCTCCTTTCAACGCTAAACTCTCTAACGTGCTACGGACAGAAGTTTCCAAATCGTCTGGAACTTACTTCAATTTGTTCCTGTACCAGTGCGATTTCATCTACTCTGAGAGCCTATCTGTTAACCATTCACTCGTAACTAAGCGATAACAAAATATGAACTTTATCGCGATGTGAATCTAGCGATGCGGTCTGCATCGGATAAAAATTCTAATTACGTTAATGTACTTTCTGTGCGAAGATCAATAAAATCCTTTTCGATGAAATTGACTTCCGCCTCGAGCAGTTCTGACCCAGCTTTCTAAACAGGCTGCGCGAATTCTTTGCAGCATACCTGAAGCGGGGAGAGTACAACCTGATCGTGGTGGACTGGTCGAAATTGGGAGGTTTGCCATGGTACGTGACAGCAGTTCGTAACACGAGGATCATCGGACCTCGGGTCGCTCGTTTGGTAAAATGGTTGGACGCTCTGGGTACTGTATCCTTGCCCAGCTTGCATGTAATTGGATTTAGTCTGGGCGCTGAAATAGCTGGATTTATGGGGAAAGCATTGGCACCGAGGAAAGTGAGTTTCCTGGAGGCGAGCGATAACCGATAGATTCATTTTTACGGCAAAGGGTCCGTTGTTCAGGTTGGAAGGATCACTGGACTGGACGCGGCGTATCCTCTCTACATGAACACGGGACGAGAGGGCCATCTGACGAAATCGGACGCAATGTTCGTCGACGTGATTCACACCGATGGCGGCCATTTCGGATTTCCTAATCCGCTGGGTCACGTCGACTTTTACCCGAACGGGGGCAGACCCGTTCAACCTGGCTGCAGCGCGGGAAGCGTGCTATCCAGGAGCTTCTCGCGTCTCATGAGAGCGTACAGTACGATTCGTCCTGTCTTATCGGTTGAGTCCATCTACTTTTTCGATAAAAGTTCATTGAAAGACTCTTCAGACTTTTCACGTCTAAATTATTTCTCTGTACAGTCACTTGTGGACATAATCGAGCTTGGATGTACTACTCAGAGTCCGTGACAAATCCCTTCGGATTTCCCGCCAGTCGATGTCCAAGATGGCACCCGGGCATTAAAGCCAACTGCGTGTGGAGCCCCGACGTTTTGATGGGATTCGCGGTGAGCAGCATAGTCAGGGGAATGTTCTACTTAAGGACAAATGCGGATGCACCCTTCGCTAGAAATACCACTGGATACATAGGCAAATGACAGGAGAGACTTTAAGTTTGGATGAACCAGACTGGGATAGTCATTGATTATCCGCTTCAGCCTTCCGCGTCCACCGAGAGAACGCTAGCAAAAAATTCTCGGAACGATAGAGCTTACGTAGAATCTATCGAGTTAAATTTAGGAAATTAGTAGCCTCTTAAAGTGGATTTTATTGATTCATTTAGCAACTTTAGCCAAGCGTAACAATCTATCCAATTGCGAATAGTATGCGACCTGCATAGCAATGACCAATAACTTATATAATACGAGACGCATTTATTGTTCCTCGTTTATAACTCCGTGATAAACAGATAACAATAAAATCGACTAGTGCAACGGAGATCCCCTGTTTAACGACCGTAAATAACAATCTCCCTAGCAAGCAAACCGCGAAACGACGTGCAATTTTCGTTATTCCCAATGCACCCTGGTCGTCCTCGAAATATGGAAATTCCAAGGGCGACTGGCTTCTTATTTCGTCATTTTAGGCGATCGATAATGGTTGCCTGAAAGGACCCTTCGAGGCGAGGGTAATTGCGTTAAACATTTTATGTAAGCCACAGTCTCTGGCGGACTCTACGAACGCGACGGAGACTAGAAATGTTAGGAAAAAGGTCGGTTGGCTGATCTCCAACTACGATGCTTTTATTTTGCAGCTGTTTTACCGGATGACTACGAATCGAAAGATCCATAAATCCATGATTTTTCAATTACGGTATCGTATTTACAAGCTAGCAGAAATTTCATAACGGATCACGTTTTGTCTCGACGAGCTGACGTTGTAAACTGATACATGTTCAGGAAAAGCAATATACGTAATATTCATGACCATTTCGTGTCACATTGGGATTGACAGACACGTGTGGTAATCGATATGTCATCCTACGTCGATTCCTCCCATAATTTCTTTGTATACGACTCTTGGAGCAGAATGGAAGCTACTATTACTCAAAAATGACAAAAATAGAAATAACGGTGTCCAGTAAGAAAGTAATTTTTCTGTAAAATATTTACAGATCCGCGCGGTTTCCGGTAGCAGCCTTTCAAATCTGTCGTGCTAATAAAGACATTTCTGCGAAGCTTTAACAATCCGTTTCCTTTTGCCCTTTGTCTTCGGTTAGCAACAGAACAGATAGTTTCCAATCCATAATGCTCCGACGGGCGTCCATGCAAGACAATGGTTTTCCTTCTTTTTCTCCACCTGGTTTTTCCGCATCCACCACTTCATCCAAGCGAAAGTAGGTACAATCGTTTCCCTCGAAAGAGATCGAACAGGCTAAATGATGGAAAGATTGCATCGTTGGTTTTTCATTTCGCGCTTTTCATGCATCACTTTTGCTTCAATTAAAAACGGCGAAGGGTGGCTGCGCTTCGATAACGCATCGTATTTCTCTCAGGAATCGGAGAGACATTCAGAGATTGACAGAGACTGGCCACATCTTGTATAAAGTTTCAAAAACGTGAAATAATAGCTTGAATGCAAGCTATTACACTGGAATGCAAGCATTGCAGAGAAATGTTTACTCAAGAATCTGTCGAATCGAACTTCTTATCAGGTATTTTGGAAAGACTCCGAAGCTCGAGTGGCTAGAGTACTCTCGAGAAATCGATAGAAATACAGCTAAGCTTTCATTCGTAAGCTTATTGTTACGTAACGCGGTCTAAAACAGCTACCGAAACGTAATAAAATTGATCCAACATTTTGCACGTTCCAATACAAATTTCGTCGCGCGCAAACTGTCGTAACAAAGCGAAATCAATTTTGGTTTACGGTTTCCCTGATTACTATCAAAATACTAGCTTGAATTTTGCGCGATAAACTTCGAAATAACGTTACCGATGTTCGAGCAATATACAATTCGTACTTGAAAAAGGAGTCACCGAAATTGAAAGTGAATTCAACGGAATCACTGAAAAATTGATAGCCATTGTGGCTGTTAGATGAATCATAGATTTGTAACGCGGTAAAATGCAAATTCACCAATCGATAAAAGATGAATTAATGTAAAGTAGAAAGTACATAATTTCTGCTCGGAGCCCTTTAACCTTTCCTCTTTTCATCGAATCGAAAGTAATCCGTGTTTTCCGCGAAACGAGGAAAACAACTCCCGAGTCTGTTTTATATTTCCTTCCTTTTCATCGTTGAAAGCTTGCAATGTACGAGAAATCTTACAATCTCGACGAGAACCACCGGTCAGTCAACCCGGTATGTCCGCTAAAAAATTCAGGAGTGACAGGTCGATAACGATCGACGACCTATGGTCGGGGTTATAGATGACCCTAGTCTTGAAAGACTGCGCCTCGGCTGTAAAGACCCGAAGCTTGCAGCCTACATGCCCCGTCACGTATATAGCTACGACCACATTTCTCTTTGCTGTCATGGAAATCCCGCGAGTGTCGACCAGTTCCATTTTCTCTTTGTCGCAAGAACTTAGAAAATTAAAAAAAAAGAAGACGAGAGGTTGTCACTGTCTTTGCGTATCGACAAGCTCTGATCTTAAAGTTCATTTGAACCGAAATTATTTTTTAACAGAATACGTTAAATGGAGTTTTAACGATACACAGATCTAACGCGTGATACAGCTTTATACAAATAATATCGGTTGAAAAAATTCGTCAAACGATAAGAAAGTATAAAAAAGCAACAATACGTTTCACGGAACATTGACTGTGAAGAATCAAAGATTAGCAGCGGTGGTGTGTTGAAGCATGATTCAGCGTTGTTTTGTCGCGTTTCAAAGTTACATTTCCCTGGCTGGCGTGCAACACGACAAGGAAGCTATGCAAAGGGAGTTGTAAAAGGGGTAGGCAACCCTACAATACGAGCTTTTCCAAGATCGACGGTATACACGCAGGGAATAACGCATCGAGGGGTTGGTATCGTACCTGACGTGTTCGTAATCGGAGAGAGAAGGGACAAAAGGTAGATCGATACAGTAGGGCCAAACGAGCGACGTGAGCCAGACATTTCGTGTTTCGTTCTCTATTTCCGCGACGGACAATGCACCTTCATCGACGCGGGAATCGAAGTTCGCGATATAGGGAAACTCGAGATTTGAATGCAGCAGAGACCAGACAGTTATTCCATTCCATCGATTCTGTCGCTGTTACTGACAGCGATAATAGTCCCAATAATGTCTCATTGCAGTCAATCCTCGGAGAAATCTCTTTTAACGACTCATTGTCTTCGTCTTCCTTCAAAGTCCGTTTCGAGTTGCGAATCACCTCGCCAAAGGATGGTAAAAATCTTAACAATGTACATGAATAAAGTTCAGGAACGGAGTGCTGACACTCGACAGTTTCTGAAAATGACTTCATACAGTATCGGAAGTATGATAAACAGTTAAGCTGAGCCATAGATTACATTCGCAAAGAAGTAGCTTTGAAAAGGTGAATGCAACAGTTTACGTATTGTTAGACACAATCCCTCGATATGATTATGCGCAAGTTTTATTGCTCAACCAGGTTTCTTATGCAAGCGGTAGAGAAATTTTTGTTTTGAAATCATGTCTTGACTGTACTCTAA